CCTGGGAAAGGACCAGCCACTCAGGCTGCATGCCAAGTGGTGAATGTGTAAGGCAGGAGAGCAGAACAGAGTGCAGACAGCAGGTCTCCTCCAGGACAGCACCCAAGCTGCAACCACTTAGCCACAACTTGGCTTACACAGTGGTGCTCTATCTCCCCGACCCCAAGCTCAGCTGCACAGTGCATCACACCCTCCCCCTTCCACCCCTGGTGCCTCACCAGAACCTCACAGTATCTTGAAACCAATGCTGGTAAGACAAAAAGATATTTCAAGCCCAGAGAAGCCACACCTGACACACTAAGCTCTGCGCTTTGTGCGCCAGCAGAAAGGAGGGTGTGTTTTACTACTCCACATATTTTTTGCCAAAATGACCTTAAGCCAGGTTCTGCTCAGTTAACGAGACAACTAAGTAGTCCCAGAGATTCAGTATTTCCTGGAGGCCTGCACATCTCCAAGGAGGACATCCCAGGGGAAGGAAGTATTCACGCACAGGCTTTAAGGAGACATAAGCTCAACAGGCTCTTCTGTGGTCTGGAGAGAAAGATGCCTCAGAAAGCAGCTGAGGCAGAAATTAACTTCCCAACTTAAATTGCCTTTCAGGAGACTTCTTCTCTCTGACTCTCTCCAGTGTTTCCACAGAGCCCCTAGGAAGATCTGCTTCAATAGCTAAACACAGGTTTTTTGTGAATGCCCCCACAATTCAGTAGTGGCTTTGTCACAGGACTGATCTCACACACACCAATCACCTGGCTTCTCTCTGCAACACGGTTCCATCCTGAAAGAGGTTTTCGTCTCACAAGTGAGCCCTTCATTAGTCTAAAAAATAAAACAAGTGCTACCTCCAAGTCTTCCAGTTGCCAATTGTCCAACTGCACTGAATGCGATGTCTGAAGACAGCCAGTGACAGAAGGGCTTTAACTGAACGCAGATATGCGGCGGTTTTGTGCAGTTACTGGGAATGGAAAAACTACTCTGAATTTAACTTGTGAAAAAACAAATTTGAAAAATGGTCATTATCACTCCCTCCTCAGGAACATGAAAGCATTTGTTGCAGGTCCCCAGACGTCTAAGAAACTGGAGCATTTAGCTTGTTCTTAGGTGCGTGTCTTCCCAACAGTTCATTTGTAAAATGGTATATCCCCCATTTCAAAGTAGCTTTGCCATCTGAAGTGGGGCAACGTAGTTTTGAATGACAGAACTGGTCTATTAGAAAGGTCTAACTTTTTTTTTTATTGTCATTAATCATTCCTTTCACAGGTTAGAAAACAAAAATGACATCTCAATAACATTTTATCATAGTTTATACAGAACCCGTTGATGCATGGTGTCATTTTCTCATCCAAATCCATAGCCACCTTCCAAATCGCAGAGTTTAGGAACTACAGTGCACGCTGGACTAAATTCTTTCACGATGTTAAGGCACAACTACATGATCACAAGTAGTAAACACAAACACTGAAAATGGAACTTAAGAGAATCAAACTTCAATGAAAAAGAAACAAAACACACTCATGCACACACACACACAAAAAAAAAATCTATCTACACCTACCAAGATGGTATGATCCAGTTTAAAAGTGCAGTACTCTGTAGGTAAAACTGCAACATAAGGATAGTATTATACGTTGCCTCTAAATACTGCGTAAGAACTTAAAATTTTTTCCATTTATAATTTATACAATTTTACAGAAATTGTTGTATGAGCAATATTCACGTCTGCAATAACAAACTGATCATCAAAATTCAGAAAAGAGGCAAACAAGACAATGTAATTTGTGGCACGCATCCTTTACAGAATACCATTCATCAAGTTTACATCTTGAGTACTGAAGAAAAAAAAGAAGACTAAATTAATGGTACATTTCGTGAATGAGGCAACCTATGGCCAAACGACAAAGCTGCATACAAAATTGTTTTTACCCAGCAGACCGTGGTTATGAAAGCCTGTGGTTATGATTTATTTCCTGTCCAGCAGCTAGAGTTTGCAAGACTGAAACTATAGAAGTTTAAAAGAATACAACAGAGTTTACAATATCTTGAAACTACTGGATACTTTGAAACACATTAAAAAAAAAAAGACTTAACCTTTTTCCTTTTTGGTGAAACTTTTGCAATTTTGGCATTCACTATAACTTCTACATAATATGACAGTGAGCAAACCTTAAACTTACCTAATGTTTGACTTTCACGCTGAGAGGTAGTTTAAACGAAATCTTATGTAATGGCATCAAATGGTGGGGTTTTATGATTTTTTTTTTTTGCGTGTGAATTTTTTTTTTTCTTACAAAAGTGACAAATCCTATACAAGCAGCATTTTGGACACATTACTATAAAAAGTTCTGGTATTTGCTAACCCAGCGAGACATTCTTTTAAATGTCCCCTTTACGCCAGGAATCAAGCCTTAGCGTGATACAACGGAGTACTTTGCAATAAAGCCAACAGCAGGAGCCTGGACCTGCCAGCACTGGCCTGTTGACATACAACGATGATCATTCTTTCCCTTTTTTGCCCTCTTTAACCAAAAAAGGCAGGAAATACAGATGAATTTGTTTTTCATTTAGGTCATAGGGTGAGGAAAAATTGGAAAACACGCCTGCCAGGCTTCTGCTTTCATAGTAAGGTTGATCCAAAAGGGTTAGTAGGGCTTCAGTAATCTTCAAACGAGCAGATACTCCTGTATCTACTGCAGAGTGAGTGCATAGTATGTGGTGAGCTACAGACAAAAGGCAGAGTTTATTACGTTAACTAGTACCTATCCTCTTCATTATTGTGATCTTAAGTGGCATCTGATGTTCCCTCTAAAGATGCAAACCTCTTTATTCAGTGCCCCTTAAAAAAAAAAAAATCCCCAAAACTGAGTTCTGTGAAGGGACTTTACTATCAAATTATTGCTGTTTTTGAAAAGTACACCACTTAGTGATTTTGGAGAGGCTGTGGTTGGACAATAACTTTAAACTTATCCTAGAAGGGGTGTTGAGGTCAAGACTTCAAAAATTAAGAACTGTACAACTGGCAAGACCCTTGAAAATACATAAAATTCATGTTTTCTCATTTTATAATCTTAAAATGAAGCTCTACAAAGACAACGTCTGTGTGACTACGTGGGGTTTGTTGTTACATGTGCTCTCAGACAATGATCGCATTTTTGGTACAAAGGAATGATGAGTAAAATTCTCCTTACTTAGCAAGGGGCCAAATGTAATACAGTGAAAGTCCAGCTGAAGATGAACCTTCTGTTCATTGATTACAGCTAACACATGCAAAGCCAACAACGACATTTCATTTACTGTAGATTATATTCAGTTAAGACAGCAAAAAGTGCATAGTGCAAATGACAGTGTTGTTTCCTAGTCCTCCAAGAATAGGAGAGTGGTAGGGGTGGTACTTGGAGGAGTACTTTATCAGTTTCCACATACTCAAACCATAGTATCATTCTTCTTGGCATAGTTTATATTCTGTTTGAACTTCAGCTCCAGTTGTTTTCTGTCTGCCACTGAGTATTGGTCATACATTCTTCAAGTTTTGCAAAAAGCATTTGTTCCTACTTTGTGTTTGACATTTAACAATCC